TCGCCGCCGCCTCCTCCTCCCCCTCCCCGGCCAGCCGGCCGGGGAGGGAGGGAGGGAGGGCGGAGAAGAGAGGCCTCGCCGCCGCCTCCTCCTCCCCCTCCCCGGAGCCGGCAGGCAGGGCGGGGGGCGGGGGCGAACACCGGCCTCGCCGCTGCCGCCACCCCCGCCGCCTCAGGGAGATGGGGGGATGGAGGAGACGGGGCTCTTCTCTCCCCCCCGCGAGTATCGCGGGTCCCCCTCTTGTTATTATTTAATTCACTTACAGAAGGACTGTCAACCTGGTCTACAAGTCCAGAATGACTGTACCATTTCAGTCTGCAGATAGAGAAAACAGACTGTTGAATGCTCCCATTAAAAAATCCCATCAAGTAAAAAAACTTCTTCTTTTTTTGCTTAGGGGGAAAATTAATATGCTTTCCAATAAAATATTTCTAAGGCAAGGAACAGCAGTACAATAAATAAAATAATAAAATCAGTGAAACCATCCAATAGCTGTTTGGAACACCAGTATAAACAATAATTGCAATAATTCTGACATTTTCAGCAGTGAAAACCTCATCTGAATTAACAGACCAAAATCCTGGATCGGATTGACTACTTGCAGAGTAAAGTGCCACAACCTGATGGTATAGCAGAAAACAGCTCAGCCATTGCTAAGGCTTTTACTGTAATACTTGCAATAAATTATCAAATCTATAATAGCAATGAACACAGTAAAAACAACCTTTCTGCCTGATATGTTAGTTTGGTGTTTGTTTTTACCTGATGGTCATCTATTTTTAAAATTCAACAATGGCATCCCCTCCTGCTTGCATTTTGAACTGGTACAATCCACCTAAATCATACCAATTCAGGATTCTACCACCACACTCTGTTGCGTATGTGAACCAAGCCTTGGTGAATTTATGAAGTGTCATTTTACCATAGGAGGCCAATTTAAGATTTCATTCATAATCCATCCATGAACATTTATCAGGCTATGACACATGTGGATATAAAACTCTTGTTATTGCACCACATGTTATTTATCCTTCATTACTTTGGGATGTTTTGGGGGTGCAGGATCAAAGCCAACATCCAGAAGGAAAACCTGTGTTTTCATTGATGGAGAGCAAGGGAAGGAGGAAATCCAGTAGTTACGCTTGAGAGGCAACTAGAGTGGAACATTGGTATTTTTTCAGTTTGATAAATTTTATTTTCTAAGCTCATTAATATAGATGAATCCTCCCCTCCCCTTCCCCCCCCCGAAAACCCAGAAAGTGGGAAGAATTATTTGGTGAAGAACTTTCATAGTAGAAAGGAATGAGATATTGCTGCACCAAGACAATATGTCCTCCTCATAGAAAGAGATTGGGGTATAATTAAAAATTACTGAAATCTTTGCAAAGACTTAGCAAAACTGTAGTACGCATCTTTGTAGCAGGAGTTGCAGAAGGGATCTTTCCTGAGTAGCAGGAAGGATCCCTTCTCTTGAAGCGAAATGTTCATGCAAGTAGCGAACTTGGTAAATTAATGGGACTTGGTTCCTGCTTTGGTATTTCTACAAAGATTTGCAGTTGTTTGACTCTGATCTAACATACTGTGGTAGTGTTTATGGATTATCCCTCTCTGTTGGCTGCAGGCCATAGAGGATATAATTTAAATCCTAACGATACCATGGCTAATGAAGATTGCCCTTTAGCTGACAACTGCTTAAAGTTATCACCATCCTTTGGATGTACACAAATTCAACCACTGGCTAATATTGAAATTATACATTAAGAACTTTTGCTTATATTTCAGAAGGTCCAGGCGGTTGCTAACTTGCTACTACTTTGGCCTCTATTTATAATTTGTTTAGTGTCAATAATTAATTAAGCCCAGTTAAGTTCAAAATGCAAGGGGGGCATGCCCTGTGAGGTAGGCCATTAATATTACCATATTGTCCATGAGGGGAACTAAAAGAGCATCTTACTTAAGGTAATATAGTGAATGAGACCGTGAATGAGATGCATTTTTGAACTAGGCATCTGAGTCACACAGCTCACACTCATAGCCATGAGACTGAAAACTTCACTTAGGTCCCGGTCACACGGAGGGTTTTGGCCCGGAAGAGGGATGGATCAGGGCTGCAGCAAACGGGCGCGATCTCACTGCAGCATCTGGGAAGCAGCGCGCACCCATCCCTGATCCGTCCCTAACCCCGGAAACCCCGCAGCAAAAAAGAACCACCGACAGAGGTGGTCTTACCTGAACAGCCGCAGCAACCGCGGCCGTGGGATTGCTGGTGTGTCCTTCTGCTGGTGCATCCCTGGCTCCTGGCTGAACTGCGCATGCAGATGCATGCGCAGCCGGCTGCCTCAGACTCCTGACCGTGGCTTCCTCCCCGGCATCTGATCGTGCCAGGGAGCAACGGCTCCGTGGCTCAGGGGATCCATGTGATCCCACCGCGGCGTGTCTATTTTGGTGCGGCTTCCAAAAGCTGCACTTTGGCTGCACATTCCCCCCCCCCATGTGGCAGGGGCCCCACAGTACTATCCTAAGCATGTCTACTCAGATTCCTACTCCTGTGTACTCAATAGGGCTTGCTCTTATGTGTAAGCCTGAGGAGTAATTTTAGGATTGCATTGTTTGGCTCTCAATTATTTTCACATTTTCAGAATAACAGAACATAGCTGATATATTGAAAACATTTCTCTCAGCATTTCACAATCTGGCACCAAAAAAAGTATCTTTGTTAAATTTCAGCTGGACTCTCTCCATGGAGCTATAAGTTTTATTTTTACTTCATACCAATTGTGTTAGGTAAATTTAAGACAGAAGGTTACGCAGTGAGCTTCATAGCTGAATGGGAATGTGTGGTGTGGAATCTAGCCACTGTATCACAATGGCTCAAGCGAATTTGATGTACAGATTCGGTACAGTTTTTTAAAAAAACTATTGTACATATTATGTGTGTGTGTGACATAGCCAAAAAGAATCAAAATCTTGTACTATTTCCCGTTAACTCATTTTTAAAAAACAATTTAAAAAAGTTTGCTTTGGTTAGATCTAAAAAGTGGTTTTTAAAAATATATATTTTAAAATCTGTTCTTTAAAATTGACCATTGCTGTATTTTATTGTAGGTATCTGGCCTTCTGAAGAGGTGCTGGCTTACTACTGCCTCAAGCACCATGAAATGTTCAGGTACAAAGACAACCCACAAAAGACCCTTTCCAATCCATTAGTTTTATTATATCTGCATAGTAAAGATTGCTATGATTTAAGTCGTCAGATTCAGTTCTTGAAAGTTCAAGGTGAAAGCATGTTGCTCTTAACAAAGAATTTGGAGCTGCCTTTGGGTACTAATATTGCACAGCAAGCTTTCTGCTATATGTCAAAGACTTTTGATTTCCACTCAAGGCGTTTTATTTCACTTTGTTTTTTGGGAAACAAAAGGGAGACGCCAATCGATCAGCACTGATTGTGAAGGTCAAGAAAAAAATAAAGCCATTCTTTACATTGACTTCAATTCTGAAAGTCATCAAAGTGCTGTCTTGGAAGGTGTGTCATGCTTTCAAACCAGTTCTTTGGCATCAGGCTTTTTCTACCTTTTCCAGTGTGTTTTGTGCCATTTTGTATTTCTGTGTATTTTTAATACTCATGTATAATGTTCTTTTAGTCTCCCTCTCTCTCTCCACATTTAGCTGTGCAGGTACAATAAGAGAAAGAACGGAGAGACAGTTAAAGCTGAGCTGAAACTGAGTGTAGGATGTTTGTGGACCCAAGGGCACAGAGGGAGAGGAGTGCAGATGAGGAAATGAGCAATCTGTACATTGGATCTGGGTAAAACAGGCCACAGTTTTATCGACTACACCGCAGGATCATTGGCACTGCATGGAGATGGATCCTGAATCAATGAGTCTCACACCCCCAACATGCCTCCTGGGTTGCATCTAAGGAGAAGCAAAGCTGCCCTGCAGAAGCCATGTGGTTCCCCTGCCACTCAGTGGTGAGAGCCCTGCTGACAGCCCCTGAGCTGGGCATGCCAATCTATTGGCTCCACCAGACCCCTGATGGGGGTCCCTGTAACCATGCGATGCGAGCACACAGGCACTGCCTCCCTAGCCAAAGGATCCATCCCAATATTCCATCTGCCACAGAGCCAGGGGGTCCAACTGCTACATAGCACCCCACCCCGGCTCCCGCCAAAGTAGGAGCCTGTAGCAAACCAAGCAAGCCATCCCTGATACCGTGAAGTCAAATATCCGAGCCCCACTTGGATAAATGAACCCCATTCACCCTGTAGAGGGCTGGCTACCAAAACATAATGTCTGGGTATGGAATGACACGTCCCCCCAGGGATTCCACCACCTACGTCATCGCCTTGCATGTCTTCCACCTAGCCAAGTCCACCTGGGCCAGTGAAATGGCCCCACACCACTAGTGCCACTTTAGGAGGGAAGACCAGATGATGCATGTGTCAGGAAGCCAGGAGTAGAGTGTCCTTAAATCAGCCACCATAGCACCACTACTATGATTTTGTATTGAATTCTTAGCCATTTTTGGGTTTTATGGATTGTTTTATTACATTTCAATTGTATTTTGCATTTTTACAGTTTTCTAAACCTCTTCGAAAAGAATTATTTTAATGAGAACTGATATAGAAATGTGATAATGAAAAGAATTAATGAGAACTGATATAGAAATGTGATACAGTGATATAGAATAAATAAATAATAAATACAGAGGGTTTTAAAAATGTGTATCCCTTATCAAAATACAGAAGTTATCACCTTTGCTACATAAGCTGAATTCTGACTATCCTCCATCTGTCTGTTATAGATGTCCATCATCTGTATGTGAATGAAAGCTGGGCTAACTGTATTTTAAATGAATAGCTTGCTTTGATGATTAACTGATTCTGATTGTACTTTCCTCATCACAAAAGTGGACCCAGGATCAGCTTGCCACAAGGCTAATTTCATGATGCTTAATCACCTCTCCTAACAGCCACTTCATTGCAATTTTGCCATCCATTTGTTAAATTTGCACACTATTATCATTATATTTATTTATTCAGGAAAAAGTATTTTTATAGAGTATTTTTTCAGTACATCAGCATAATTATAGGTACCAAGGGCAGTGGTAGGGGTTATATTCCCACCTGTGTTTTAGACCACACTTGATTTTTCACAAGAATATCTTTCTGCTTTCTTCTTCATTATTTCTGTGCTAGCCTAACAATTAGGTTCTCTGCCTACATCTCTAGGTTCTCGGTCTACATCTGCCTACATCTCCATGCACCTATGTTGAGGTAGAACCTTCTAGTGTCTTGTCAGGGGGTTGAGTCTTCTGCCCCTTCTGGACCCCTTTGCACATTCCCCAAGGGGTAGCAAAAATGCCTTTTCACTCACATTTTATGACCAATAGCTTCATTTTTGTGGGTTTGTTTCATTAGCTAGGGAGTGTTCTTGGTTTTCTTAGTTTCTTTAGTTATTTTGGCTGAACCAGTTGTTTTCTTTCCTTGAGGAAGTTTCTCTTTTTCTTCACACCTGTGCTCTTATGGAGCTGCAGCTGGGGGACTTGACAACATCTATGATTGTCTTTGTTGTCTTTAGAAGGGGAACACAATGCAGAATGCTGTGTTTGCTGCCAAAAAAATACCAAGCAAGTTTTGCTGAAATCGTTCCTCTAAATGCTGTGCTTTATTGGGGGAATGGGCCTTTATGGCCTACCCAACTTGACTGCAATGGGTGAGCATATGGAAATCTCATTGGAAGCATTGGTTCTGAAACTATCTGTTATTGATTTTGAAATGGTTATGACCATCTTGTTCCACCTGCTTCTGAATATCTCTGCTCGCTAAGACAAATCAGAAAGTGCCACCTTAGTAGAATGGTTAGAGTATCTGACTAGGAGACTCATGTTTGAATCCCCACTCTACCATGGAAGTTGATGGGTTCCAGTTACACACTCTAAGCCTAACCCACCTCACAGGTGTATTGTGAGAATAAAATTGAAAGGGGAAGAATGTTGTAAGCCATTTTGGGTCCCCACTGGGGAGAAAATTGGCACACAAATGGAATAAATGAAACATGCTTCCAAACTAGCTGCTGTAAGCCCCTCCATTTAAAAACCATGAACAGTACTGTATTTTCAGCTCTGTCAGACTCTCAGACATGAGATAAGCTAAAGAGAAAACTAGGTGGACCTCAGTGGACTGTCTCAGCACAACATAGGCCCCGGTCACACGAGCGGGAAAAGCCGCGGGGGAAGTGCGGCTTTTTAGAGCTGCAACAAACAGAAGCGTGGCAGTGGGATCAGACAGGTCCCCCGAGGCTCTGCGCTTCTGCCGGCAGTCGCGATCACATGCTGCAGGGGAAGTGACGCTAAGAAGGGCGAGAAGGGCCAGCTGCAGCAGTTGTGCGCATGTGCAGTTCGCCATTGCCACACATACCATGGGATAACTGCGCGTCGGTGATCCCATGGCCGCCGGTGCTGCGCGTCATCCGGTAGGTACTGCCCTTTCACTAAGCTCTTTTAGATCCACATCTTCGGCCAGAAGCTATGGGTTAGGGGCTGGTGCGCGACGCTTGCCAGATGTTGGCATCTGATCGCGCCGGTTTAATCTGCCCTCAATCCATCCGTCTCGGGGGGCAAATCCTCCCGTGTGACCAGGGCCATAGTTTCATATTGTCATAGCTGGTCAGAGGGAAGTAAGCAGGAAGTCACTTGCCCTGCCTCCTGGGAATAAGCAGAGAGTCAGTTATCTCTACCTAAGGCTGGAGCACTCTGTCTCCTTTGCTTAGTGATAAGGATCCTAAATTCACTCTGGCAATAGCAAAATTTGTTTCAGTCATTTTAGTCCTTGTGTCCAAAAAATGAATGAGAATCTGCCGCTGCTAAAGATTTGTTAAGCTTCTAAGGAAATAAAAGGAAAGGAGCACCAGCTCTTCAGTAAACTAGTAAGGCTGATGCTCAGTCTCAAGCAAGCAACTTGTCTTTGCTGTGAAGAATGAAAAAGAAACAACAAAAGATATACTGGTTTGGTGTATTGTTTGATTGCAAATATATCCATGAGCAAATTTTGAATCTTTCTGAGAATCTCGTCCCTGCCATTGAAATTTCTTTGCTCCCTCTTTCTGAAAACACTGCAACAATGGTAACCTTACACATAATCCAGAATCTGAGTGGTCAAATGCATGAACACACAGGACTCTATATGTTCAAGGGCTTCTGTTTGTTTCAGTGAAGAGGAAAATTAAATAGTTGCATATGAATTTTCAGTTTGTGTTCATCGAAGATGTCTAACGTCAGAGTAGAGAGCAAAATCCCTGCTGGTTCATTGATATATGTTGAATCTTTGTCTCATGAAAATCCAAGGTTCCTATTGGCTTGAGCAGATGTTCATTGTGCTGTGCACTTGTGAACAAGGCCTGCCAGGTTTAGGACTGGTGAGAACTTTCATGTTTAATTCTCATTTTATGAAGTTCCTCAGATTACATATTTATTGAAAAGTCAACAATGGCTCCTCAAAGAGCTGTTTATGCTAATAGTGCATGTTTTAACAAGCACTATTATCTGTAAGTATATACTTATTTACATGAAGGTTTTCAGTGATACGCTTTAAAGAAAATAACCTTATTGGGAATACATACTGCCTAAATAGTAACTCTTGTACAGAACAAGGACCATTTATATAAAAATGTGCACTTCAAGGGTTTTCACTTAACCACTTTTTATTCAATTTTTTTTAAAAAACATAAACACTGTTTATAGAATTTTATGAGCAGTAAATTTGCTTTGTAGGTCTATTTTTATTATGTTCATGGGTTTGTTTGGGGTACTTGAAATTCTGCCTGTGATTTCAATAGTAAAGTTTCTTCCATTCTATATGAATGCCATGTGTGAAGGATGTGATGTTAGGACTGGAGGGAAGATTTTAGTAGGATACAGGGGTAAGATTAACAACAAAGTATATTTTAATGAGCATTTGTTGTGGTTATTTTCAAACCTCATAAAAATCTAAAATGAAGCTGTTTCTGACAAATAGTCACATCATTTATTTATTTATTTGTCTTGTAAACCGCCCTCCCTGTACACGATATTTCCAGTAATACATTCACAAATCATGTTAACAGTTAAAATGATAAATAATAAAACAGTTAACAGTTCAGTAGCAATTTCAGATGACACTTAGCTAC